AAGCACTGATCTTGAATTAAGCAGTATAATTACCTATAAACATGCACAAGAACCTAAGAAGAACCTAAGGTGTATCAGCATAGAAAATTTTATATCTTTAAGATAAGCACAGTGCATTCTTCCGCTCTGTTCAGCTGCAGATGCTACTTACATAAATATCTGTTACATTCTCTTCCGGATGAAGAATTTAATTAGAAACAAAAGTCATTTGAAATTCATCAAACATTTAAAATTCCAAATAAGATTATTGTTACCATTCTCACTTGTCTCAAAATGTTCAGCACAAGCCCACGACATTAATCGTGGCAAGGTGTCAGACGAATATTTTCGGTATTTTCAGAAGGAAAGGACTAAAGGCGAACCTCGCCAAGTGAAGACCTGGAACCGCAGGAAGAGGAAAATATTGCCAAAATCCGGGATCATGTGCATTCTGATCTTCCAGAATGTTCGGAGAAGAGATGAATTTGAATAACGCCGCCATTCACCAGATTTTGACAAATAAACAAGCGATGAGGAAAGTCTGTGAGAAAACTGCTCTGAAAAAATGTTCACAGGAACAAGAAGAGGGACAAGTGTCTTGATTTTTTGGAGTGGATTGAAAAGGATTCTCATTTTCTGGAGCATGTCATTACTAGTGACGAGTCTTAGTTTTCCAGTAACTGAGTCGTTAGCAGATGAAAAGTAACATTATTAAATTAATTTACAAAACAGTTATTACTCCCGTTATATTATACGGTGCTGCGGTTTGAGGTTCCAGGGCCGTGGACCTGCAGCGAATCAGAAATAAATTAGATACAATACAACTATCCTGGCTGCTGCTTCTGATCAGATGCTTTAAAACAGTCTCGACAGAAGTCGTTTGCATAGTGGCCGGTATGCCGCCCTTCACGATATTTTATTCTTTTCATCATGTTAAATTTAAATTACGTTCACAAAATGTTGATTTTATTTCTTACGGAACTTTTGCTGCATATAATACATGCTTTTCTGTCTTTAATATTAACAGTATACATCCTGCTTTAAGAAAAACAGTGGAATATCAAAGATCAAATGTTTGCCTAGGAGAATTGGATATATTTGCTCACGGTTCGGTTATGACAATGGAATTGGTGCAGCATATGTTTTTTATTTGTTTGGAACAGAAATAGATTATGGCAAAATTAGATTTGAATATTGTAGGATTCTCCACTGTGTATTTATAAGTTACAGTTGAAAGTGAAGAAACTTAAGTAAGCGAATAATCGCTTGAGTTTCGTGAGATAGAAAACAACAAGTAAGAAGGGTGAAATAACCCTTTATTATTCCAACTAAAGTTTAACAAAACTCCGTCTTGGAGTTGTACAATAAAGCCGACACTTGGGCTTTGAACTTAGAGACTAAGACTTAAACTAAACTAATCTTAAAAAGAGATTAGCGAAGCTATCAAAATTCTAACAGATTTGGCCCCTTAACGCTAATTGACTGCGAAGCTATCAAGGGCCTAAAGTACGGCAGAGCGTAATAATAGCTTACGAGAGAGTAGCCTAAAAAGGCGGACGTATGCAGCCAAAATATCTGGTATCTCTCTCGCTAAGACTGTAGAACTACGCGGTTATATACCGCTCTTCCTCATTAGCATTCAGACGTGACTCTAAAACTACGTTCTGACCGGAAGTGGTAAGTTGACGTAAGAATCGATAGGAAAGAAAGTTTAACTCAAAATTTAACTGTTAATAAAATTAACACAATAATTACAACCTTACAATTCGGTTTTTCAAGCCGATTTGGCTGCTATCGTATTTGGTCTTAAATGGATTGATGAAAATCTGATTGTAAAAACATTTTAATATATATTAATATATATATATACAGACTCATTATCTGGTTTGGAAGCACTAGCAGATGCTGATAACACTAATATTGATATTAGTGTTATCAGCATTTGCTAGTGCAATAAAGCCGATTTGGCTGCTATCGTATTTGCTCTTAAATGGATTGATGAAAATCTGACTGTAAAAACATATATTAATATGTGTATGTATACAGACTCATTATCTGGTTCGAAAGCACTAGCAGATGCTGATAACACTAATATTTTGATATGAAAGGTTTTCATGTAAAAGTTGAGAAAATACATGAAGTGAAAATGAACTGTGTTAAAGCCCATATTGGTGTTATAGGCAATGAGTGGGATGACATGCTGGCCAAAGAGGCTGCTGTGGGTAATGCTGGGGATTTTTCGATACGTATGTAAAAAGAATTGGTTTCTTTTTTAAATAGCGGGCACTTGCCTATAACGGCATTGGCCACTTTCAAGGCCAGAAGTGGTGGCTATTTTATTGTGGAGGCACCTGATAGGCGGCCATTATTACCTCCTATGAAGGGACAGACAATTTTACACCCCTGCCCCCTTCGGGATTCGAACGTGGTTCTTCGAAATCGCAGTCAGTCTTTCCTAACTACTACACTGTTTGGGCGGCTCAAAAAGAATTGTTGTTGGTAAAATCAAGAATTTCTATTATGATTGCTGGAAAGAGAAATGAAAAATTTCGAGAAAAAGGAAAGATTATTTGTTGAACTTTGAAGTTTCTAATAATATGAGAATGATACGTGATTCTGATTAAAATCAAATCAGTAGCTGGAGACGGGTGCTTCCTGTTGTTCTTATATTTAATTTAAAAAATAATATTCTCTGTAGTTTTTGTAGTGCTGAAGGCAATGCACGACATTTCGTCAAAGACTGCGTTTTACTGCGACATATTAGGGAAAAACATGGTAACATAAAGGAGTTATATTGCCGCAGGAAAGAGTTTAGATTTGCAAAGGATTTAGTGAACCTTATAAATGGCAACAGAACTATACTGGAATTTTGGTTAGATGTTATTAACTGTATTTTTGCTTTAATTTGTGTTGGGTGTGCTGCTTTTATAATGAGGCCGAATATTATTGGGCAGGAGGGTTACAGTACTCTCTTATATTACATTACATTACATATGTTTTATATACATGTTAATTAATATGAATCCTGGTGAGAGCCGACGAACTTAGTGACAATACAAGTAAAATAGTAGCATAATTTGTTAATTAATACAAAACCTTAAATACTAAATTCCGCATCAAGACAGTCATTAAGGGTTACTTCGTTTTTACCTGTACCATAGTACTGGTCTCGGATTTGAATCTAAGATTGAGCATAGGCGTTTATGACTATAATACTATCTGTGCTGATTGGAGGCATTTAAAAATAAGCTAAATAAATGTCTTTTAAAAAATTTCGGGTTGGGAGACTCATTAGATTTCACCTTTTTGGAAGCTCTCGGTCTAAATTGGATTGGAGCTCAGTAAGGTAATCTCCTAAGCCCCTTTACACATTGCCATGATCGAATAATCTAATCCAGTAAATTCCTAAAGTTTTAGTACCATATTTTCCAAACTTTAGCTCACTACTTTCCTTAGAACTGGAGTAACTATTTTAAGAGCATATATTAGCATTTACATGTAACATATTAGCGTTTATGTGTTATTAAAATGGACTGAAAAGTCGCCCTTTTAATTAAAACGTTCCTAGAGTTATAAGAAGTAGCGGGCTTGAATTTGTTTATTAACGTTAATTTAATGTTTGCACATAGAAGGTGATTAAACTAAGAAGTTTTGCTTTAAGTAAATTTCTATATATTTTGAACAAATATATTTTTAATAAGACTGATAAAGGGGGGAGATAGAATTAGGCTTACTTATAAACTACTTATAGTCTTACCGTGAAACAGATCATGTGCAGGGAAAAAACTGCAGTATGTAAAAATGTTTTTCTTCCTTAAATTTCCATTTAATTTGTCATAAATTTAGAGCAGTAAGTTAGAAAGTTTTGTTCTGACATGCGTAAATCAGAAACAAATATGTAGCCCAAGCTTTTGCATAGTTGTTTAAAAATAGTCTAAATGTAGAGTATTTTACTCAACAGCCGAAGGAATGCAGGTAACATATTACTATCTTAAATAATTACAGGAAAGAACATTGGAAAGCCATCTTTTCTAAATAACTAACGTTCTAAAGTTTCTTAAATATTAGCATAACATCTGAAAAAAATCACAAAAGGAGTTTTGAATAAAATGTGAAATGAGCATGCAAAATCTTTATCGTTCGAACATTTATGAGTTATAATGCCCACAAGGGTCCGTACGCTGCTTGAAAGATCGCTATCAGTCTCCATAATTTTACTTGTTCTGATGCTTTCATTAGATAACACAAAGCAGAACAATTGAAAAAATATAATTTGAGAAACATTTGATTAAAATAAAAATATTTATCTTAAACAAAAATATTACCAATCACATTAATTATATTATTAACAAAGAAATTATTTATTGACATATTGACATACAAATTAATATGCTTGAGTATGTGATTAATGCTAATGTAGGAATGTAAATTTCCAATGCTTTGTCTTTTTAAAATTTTCCTTTAAAATTAACATTTCAAGACATATTTTAATTTCTTTTTTCCTCAATCAAGTACGCGCTGACATCATTAGTTTTTAACTACTGTGTGTGCGTACTGCACTGTCTGAGTATTATATTTTTACAATGGTGTGCATCACACTGTTTTTTGACGTTTAACGGCATCAATCTGTTTCAAAAATTTGTGTTCTGTTATAATAAATATTTAAGAAGAAAAGCAAAAGAAATATATAAATCTTAATGTGATTTAAATATAAGTTATGTTTCATGAATTACGTTTACGATCTAGTTAGGAAATATCTCTTTTATGCATTCGTTGCTGGCCTATATATCTGCTGTAGCTTACATGGTAGTATTTAGATTTCTTCAGACATAAACAGTATCGCATCATGGAGGCAATAATCGACATTTTCTGAAGTAAGCAGTCATTAAGATAAAATAAAGAAACCGAATTCGTCATCAGTGAGGTCGAAGTAATGCAGCCTGTGTTAATTATATGTGATTAGGAGCGGTGCGGACTCGATTTTAAAAGCAACTAATTTATGGAGAGAATAGCGCTGTTGGCGAAAGCTTTTCCTGCAGTTTGGCGACTTGGGATTAGAGCACGGAGGAGAAGCAACCCTTCGACCCTTGTAGAGGTAAAGCTGAGTGAATGCCGATGGTGATTGATTCAAGCTGAAAACTAGCTAGATAATCTCCCTGCAGCTACTCGATGTGAATCTCCGACTCGTCACCAACTAAAATCACAGAAATAAGCAGAGGGATCAGAGAGAATTCTTTCTTTGGTAGGGTTCGCGTATACTCTCAACAAGCTAGAGTAAAGAAGGCTTCATAAAGGGCAGGACGCCATAGCGGCCCAGCCGACGCTATAGTGACATTGTTACTGGAGAGCGAGGACAGTTTCAAGTTTAAGCGCCCGTGAAGTTTGTTTCTCTTTCTGCTACGAAAATGGTGCACACACTAACAGTAGTGAGCACAGTTTTTTTGACTTTAGTGTATTTTACATCTTCAAAGACGTTATACGAAGTACTGACAGAATATGAAGATTTACGGGAGGTACGTACTTCAAATTTCTATATCATTTTCCTTCTGAGATGCTATCAAAATATTTTCATTCCGCTCTAAATGATTTAAGAAATAGAGAAAACCAAATACATAATTTTTTTATATCCGACATCAATTTTTTATATCGTATCATTTGTGAAATGTATTATAATTCAGAAATTTATTCGAATGCTCTAAATACCTCATGATTCCTATGGTTGGAAAAATTTTCATCAGAATCAGTATTTTATAGATACATACATCTACCTACAAATAAAATATTAATAGAGAATTAAAAAAATAAAACTAGAAACTTTAGATTGAATAGCAACCAATGTATTTACTTATTGACTTATCCATATAGAAATGCAGTATATTCCTCAAGAGCTATTAGAAGTCTTACGGAAGCTTTGAAATTTATAAAAGAGGAGTGCAGGAAAGCGAACATCATCACTTTTATTTAAGCTATGCAGTGAAACATACATACACGTACAAACGCTTGCATGATTGACTGTCGATTTTCTTCCCAGAATATTGCATTTCGTTTTGTAAACCAAAATTGTTTTAAACATTAAAACCATTCTGTTTTTCGGAAAAGATGCTAATAAGTTCGATGAATGAAACTGCTATTTTTTATTTTAAGGCAGTTTTGCACGGTTGACAAGAAGGATTAAATTTGACATTAAACATACTTTTTTAAAGGTTTATTAACTAACTTTATTTATCGGAAATAAGGTTCATTGATACACACCTGAGTGTACCTTTGGGTTTTTGTACTCGCGTTTCAGACATACTCACATTTCAGAAGTGAAAATCTTATGTGATCAAGTAAGCTTCAAGAAATGTATTTCAAACGACTCAGAAACCATTACGAAACTTCATAACTTAATTCCAACGAGAAATAAGCAAAAGCATATTTAAAGAATATTTAGGTATTGACGTATTTAAATGAAATATAAAAGATTACAGACGAGTATACAGAAACGTTAGTTTAAAAAATATGTAAAAAAGTACTGTAAGATAATATTTGTTATTTTGTTCAGGTTTTCATGCATTTGGATTAATAAGTTCAAAGACACTTTCAGTCAAAATTCTCATTTTTCTTATAATTAAATTTTGAAGAATAATGCACAACGTTAGTGTGAATGTCTAAGAACGCTTTTAGTTCTAAATTACTGAATAACTTGGCATGTCACTATACGGTATTCAATAGTTAATATATATATAAAGTAATTTATTTCACCATTAAAATATTGTTGATTTCATTTATTCACTTATTTCATTCATTGTATACATGTCATAATCTTATTTAAACTGAATATTGTTTCTTAAAATGGGTTAAGCTTTTCTCGTCTGGTATGAATGTCCATATCTTGGACTTAATAAAATTTGCTTTTCAGTTAATTGCGATAAACTGACAATGTAAGTGTTTCATTTAGTTTTGCAAATGATTATTAAAATGTTACAAAGAATTAGAGAGGTAACTCTAATTTACCTAATGAAAACCGAATCTGAAACGAATTTATGTAAAATAATTTAACTATTAATTTATTTTTATTCTTTTATACTCATATGCTATTAATTTAATTTCGTAGTCTATTAATTAAATTCTTTTAACAGTTACCATTAATTAAATTATTTTCACAGTTACATATATATTGCTTACAGATTCCGTTTTCATAAAAAACATAATATTTTAAATGTACATAATATTTTAAATAAAAACGATATCAAATAATAAAACTATAGAAACTTGTATCGTGCATTTGGTTCTGTAAGTAATAAAATAGTTCAAAATGACAAATGCCACAATATAAGAGATTTCTGTGCTACATAGAAAAGAAGAAACAGCTTAAAATAGTGGAATTGTTATCGAGCTGAAGATTTTAAAAAATTCAAGGAAAGAAAAAACTCATGTAAAAAAGTATTAACAAACAATCAGATGTTACTGAAATGTGCAAAGCTTAATGCAAAAGTAATAAATACATTTCAAACATTTAGATTATTTATCTAAAATTTCTTGTGTTTAAAAAGATGCCGAACACTAAGGATTATGTCATTAGTGTTATGATGGTTATCTCTTTTTGCCTGCAAGCAGAGCTGCTGAGAACACAAATACGATGGCTAAACCGAGACGGGTCCTCATCTGTCTACTTTAAGTGTTCAAAATCATTTTCAAATAAAATTTTACTCAATTGTTTAGAACTAATTTTTCTGAGCTCCCCGGCTGTAGACATGTCTATTACTTTTCTTCCCTCTACGGATATAATTCCGATATCCAGTTTTGTTTTACCGTCGGTTCCTTTATCAGCTATTAAAAGATTTCAGTGCTTTAAGGGTTTTCTTTTCGTGAAAGCCGTAAAATGTAAAGTTCGTGTAAGCCATGTTTTTAGAAATTAACAGTTGCTGAATATCAGTGGTCTACTTTAGCTTAAAGTTTTAGCATGCAGATCATCTGAGTGAACTTTAGTGGTGGAAAATACTGAAGACATTAAACGTACTGCTTTAGGATTTAAAAGGTGGATAAAGAATTTCATATAAAATAATATTAAAGCGCGAAAATAGTGCAAAGTCCATTAAAACAAGGTAAACAATATATATTTAACATATTAGTATCTTCAAATATAATAAGTAATAGTTTGACAACGTGAAGAGAGCTTGAAAGAACGATTATTGTATTTACAGCACTTCACAAGATCAAACTTTTATTTGCGGTGCTAAAAATAGTACGTATTTATGATATCTAAGAAAATTGGGAAGCAACATTTAAATCATTAATTTCAGCTCTCAAGTGATATAAGTTTTATTCCTGCAAAGCAGCGACTTCAGTTTTGTTCTATACACATATTTAAATAAACTCTTCGAAAATCCAGTTTTGCTATCGAAAAGGAAAAGTGTAAACATTTTTAGATCTCTAAGCATCTGAACACGAAACGTAAATGAGAAAATTCTTAAATAGATTAATGTTAAGTAAAAATAAGTATTTTAAAAATGTATCGATGTTAAGAAACATTTGTATTAATGAGTTTTGCAGTACAGAAATTTATTCCTATCTGCATAAATGTGTTACTAATTAGTTAATGTTTACGTCACAATAAGTATAATTACGACTGAAGTGTGTAAACATTGTTCAACATTATTTAAACTGCTTTTTCTTTCACTTCTGCATGTTTAGTAAGTGATTGTGGCAAATATGTATTTAATATCTTATTGATATCTAATAAGGTTAATAACATGTATGCAAGAACTGATTACTTCAATTGGAGTGTTACTTACCTCAAGGAAAGCTGCCTTCATTAAATAGTAACGTTTAACACAAAATGAGGGAAATAATGAAAATTCTATACATGAACACCTACCATCGGGTACTCAGGCCTGTCAAAATTTAGTACTTTTAAGTTTGCGTAATGGTGGACATCAAAAATCTGAAATATTCTAAATTTTATGCGTATTTAAAAGCACTCATATGCCGGATTCCGCTCTCAGGCATTATTTCAAAGCGAAATGTATTCAAAATAAGAGGATTAACTGCCAAAAAGTACTACACTATCTAAAATCATTTAAGTGCAGAAATTATAGTTCAATAAATAACTATAAATCAATACGCCAGCTGCCCGGGTCTATATCAGAAAACATAGTTATGAGAAGCAAAAACTGTGGAGTAGAATAAAAATAGAAAAGTAGCCATTTTAATTGAATTTAGAGGGCTTATTGATTATACATTAAAAAGCCATTGATAGATTCCAAAAGGAAGTTTATACTTAAAACAACCGTTAGAAGTATTAGCACAACAATTTGTCCGTACTATCCCATATTTTTCGTTAATTTGGCGATATTTCCTTAAGCTCTCTAATAATTAATTTTATCGAATTATGGTTTGATTGAACTTATATTCGAAAATATCAGCTGAGCCTTTATTCAGAAAAGTTATTAAATATTTCGTGTTTCTTAATACGTGAAATTAAAAATTTCATTATAATTTTAAAGGATATGGGCGTTTTTCAAGAATCTTTCATTTAGAACATTGAAAATTTTCAATTTCTGTTGCAATAACAATATTTAATTTAAAAAACAATAAAAATATTTTATTATGTAGTTGTATATTTTATAATAGGAGCTGAAAAGACCAAATTCAAGGAACAGATGTTTATTTAAAAATCTGCAAATCTTACTTTCATAAACTTGAAAGATTAGCCTTGGTGACAAACAACAGATCGATTCTAAAACAGAAATACGCTGCTGTTGTCGACTAAGGAAAAATCATAAAAAATGGGCTTCAATTCTGGTGGCATACTCAGAAATACCGGAACTCCCTTTGACCTTTTCATCAGATGATGCCGGAAAGGAATTCCGGGTCGTCACATTATCGTCTTTCTGATGCTATAAAGTGTCACTTAACCACTTTAAAAGAAAAGTAACAGAAAATTAATTTCTCGAATTTTGAAAAATGGCATTCATTAAAATAAATATTAACAAGGCTAGTTTTGTGATCTCCAGTTAGCGAATTGCTGAACCAAACTGCACCAATATTAAGAAAGGCATAAGTTAATCTGCATATTTTATTTTCGCGGATATGCATTACATAAGTAGGTTTCGAGGTTATGCTGAATTAAATATAAAGACCTTTACATTTGGGCGAGATACGTATCGATTAATAGAAGATTCCGTATCAGAAGTAGTAGTATGGGTTTTTCGCTTTTATAAAATTTGGTGTTCGCTATATAATCCATACAGGTAATTTAGATGTAGTTTGTTTGACTATCATCTAAATGAATATGAGTTATGAAAAATGATAAGTTTAATGTGATAAGTTTACTGATAATATATACAAATATATCATTTTTCATATTTTCATTCATGCATATCATATTCATTATAGTACTTTCATTTCGTACATATCGTTTTTCATGACTCATATGCATTTAGATAATAGTCAAAAATACTAAATCTAAATTGCATATATATACACATTTATATGTGAATGTATGAGGTTTTAAAAATACACGGATAGT